TATATATATATATATATATATATATATATATATATATATATATATATATATATATATATATATATATATATATATATATATATATATATATATATATATATATATATATATATATATATATATATATATATATATATATATATATATATATATATATATATAAAAGATGTTTTTATAAGAATTCGTCCTTTAAAATTTAATATATATATATATATAATATTTTTTTAATGTTTGGGAGGAACATATGTAGTGTGTTTTATGTTGCAAAAAGTCCACATTGCAATTTTATTTCATATTCGTCCTTTTCCTATTGTAAATTCCAACCACTACCCCTCTCTTGGCTTGCACAACTCCTCGAAGAGAGGCGGCTTCCTTTTAAGACGGCGTTTCCTCCGTCGAAGACGACTTCACAGCGAGGGTCGACACAGCTTCGATATCTTGTCTTCTCTCTCTCTGCGTTCGATCCTTACAAAAGGCCCCATCGCCCGCGGCTGATTGTTCGTTGAGGTGGGAGTCGGAGAGAGGGGGAACCCAAAACCCCTCGTCGAAACCCTAACCCTAGATAGAGTGACAGAGAGAGAGAGAGAGAGAGAGGATGGACGCCATCAGGAAGCAGCTCGACGTGCTCATGGGGGCCAACCGCAACGGGGACGTGACGGAAGTGAACCGCAAGTACTACGACCGCGACGTCTGCCGCCTCTTCTTGGCCGGCCTCTGCCCCCATGACCTCTTCCAGCTTACGGTCGATTACCTCACCTCCTCGAAACCCTAATCCTTCGATCCATCTCGCTGGCTTGTATGCCTTTACAGTTTACATATAGATATGGATCCTGGATCCTGATAGCTAGGGTTTTGTTAAATTCTGTTGGTGTGTTCGTTTTGGGCAATTCTCCTGTTATTGTTTGCCGTCAAAATCCTTTTAACCCCTCGTTTTGAGATTATGCGATGTTTGGCTCTGGTTTTTTTTTTTTCGTTGAGTTTTTAATGCTTTTTATGATCATATGTTTATATCAGGTCTTCTTAGTGTCGAAAATCCAAAACTTTTTGTACCTGGAGCTTGTTTTTTGTTTATTATTTGCTGGTGTTTTTATTACATTTGTAATTTTGATGTTGGTAACTTGATAATGTAGTTTTTGCTTTTGTATTCTCTGGTCTGGAAGGGGAAGCTTGTGGAGCTTATAATTATTTTTAGCTTGGTTACTGTTGATACGATAATTTTATGGTTAGTTTTCCTGGCTGTTGATGTTCCATCTTTCGTGCTTGGATTCCATGGTTCATTGCAGCAGTTGGTATCATTTCATTTGCCTTTTTAACTTGACTTGTCTTTTTGGAGTGCCCTAATGATAGTTTTGTCTGCAGTTAAAATCTTGAAATCTCAAACTATTTATCTACTTTTATGTGCGCTGATACATCTATACTGGTTTGTATCAGAAAATGGATATGGGTCCCTGTCCGAAGATTCATTCCTTGCAGCTGAGAAAAGAGTATCTTTCTGCTCAGAAACTATGCATATCTTCTTCTTCTTTAGAGTCGTTGACAACTGTTGCATTTAGAATGAGGACTTCTAGTAAACAATGAACCTTTCCAGTGATTATAATCGTTAGTTTCATATTGGCTATGCACCATGTAGTAGCACATTTTTTGTCGCATGTGTAGTTTTGTGGGACAAAGTTTTTGGACTTCATACAGGATAAAACATCTGCCTTGATGTTTTATGTAATATTGAAGTTTAAATTTGTGTGCTTGCCGATTGTTATGCAGCTGAACAATGACTGTTTCTTCATCATGACTTTAATTATTCAAAATCATATTAAACGGTCTCTAATATCTGTACATTTTTTTCTGGACAGTTACACAATTTTTAACAGGCATATTCTACAATATGTAATAAGCATGTGTATTCTCTTAGCTCAAGTCTGTTTTGAAGCCAAAGGTTCTGATATTTGACTGCCAAGATGGTGCTTCTTGGAGTGCAAATCTTGTTGCTTTGTTTGTACCATTTATATGGGCAGAGAAGTTCTATCTATCAAAATTTCACGTCTTCATCGTAATGCTGTCTTATAGTTTTAGAGTAATATCTTTCACTATAATGTAATTAGACTTTCACATATCGGAAACATGTTTCTGCTGCTTGATTGAATAATGTATTGCTATACAGGATTCAAACATGTAGATTTGTATGCCCGTAATGAACATATATTGGATAAAATTAATTCTCATGTTTCATTCTTATATTGCCTGAACACCTTTATTTAGTTGGCTGGATGCAGTCATTTGTTAATTAGATAATGCTGGACTTTTAAGTCTTCCTGGTTATTTTTATGTTTATGCACCGGAGCATCTTAGCGAACAATGCCAATACACCCTTAATCTTGGATGGAAAAAGTTCTCAGGATTTTGAATGAGTTTCTCACTTATTTGGTCTCCATTGAATCACATTATGGAGAGGGATCAGTAAATTTGTTTCATAATGTTTGGAGCAGCTTTTAGATTTTGACTTCTTTGTGACTTTTTTAGTATATACATGTCAATAGATATTTTCTTTTGCTTTTTATGCATACATATTTGTCATTAGATATTGTATGACCTACATATAAAAGTTCACTGTACACATATGCATGCTACATGTACACATGGATGTTCTACACATATAAAGACATCTGTTTGCCTGGATGGCCAGAATTGCTCCTAATCAGAAACTTCAGTTATTTGATTCCATTTTCTGTTGCTACTGAAGCACTGTACATGTCTTGTATTCCTAAACTCTTCATAGATATGAAGAAGCAAAAGCAAAAGGTGATCATAATTTTGATAGAGAACTTGAAGATATGATAGAAAGACTCATTGTAGAGTGTGAAAGGAAAATTCAAAGAGCCCTCAAGCGACTTGAGGATGAGGATGCTAAGGCTGCTATAGCAATATCTGTATCCAAGGTTACTCAGGTAATTGTTCTATTCTTTTATATGTATGATGTGATAATCAGTCATGTGACAGATACCACAAGTCTGTGTAATGGTTTTTGTCCTTTTAAATTGTAGACGCCTGAAGCCATCGAATTGTCGAAGCAAATAAAGGAGAAATTAAAAGAAGCTGATGTATTCGGTAATTTCTTTTTGTTCATGATAATATTGAAATTTACAAATTTGTGTTTGACGCTAATTTTATATGGGCTATGGGTATGCTGTACTTCAAGTTAACTTCATTTATTGGTTTAAGATTAATGTTTTTCTATGTAGTCTACCCAGTTTCATGCTTATTGAAGGTTGGAAGAGTGGAAGTGAGGTGAACAAAGATTTTCCTCTTTCATGCATTAGCCAACAAAAAATCTCACTAGGAAGATCATAAAAAAAATCAATTGAAGCATTCTCTTGAATTTAGCAACCAATACAAACAGAAAAGAAACAATCTCACCATAAGCATAAATGTAGATTCTCTTCCATCTTTTACCAATCACTGAATGAATATTCTGAAACAACAGTTGAAATTAAAGGGACACTCAGTTTATGAATATTCTCTTTCATTTTCATCTCATGCTTCATTGCCCACAGATTATCTTTCCACTGCCTCATGCTTCGTTGCTGCAGATTATATTTCCTCTGTATGATGGGAAAACTGATCAATGACTTTATGGGCTTAGAACCACACGATCTGAAAGGCTTAAGCCCAAGTAAATGATACTAGGTGTAAGTCTTGACGTCCTTGTCAACATCTAAGTTCCAATGCATAGTCCATAATCATTGCTAGTAGGCGGCATGTGAGGTCCTATATTGGTTCATGTCTTCATGTGTCCCTAGCCCCATCCATGGGTTGCACCTTCCTACTTTGTTCTTCTCACCATGGCTTGTATTGAGTCCACTCTGATACCAACTGTCATAAAGCCCGATATTGGCCCATAACTTGATAAGCCTTATATGGGCTTGAGTGCAGGTTGGTTTAAGTTGCTTGATACCTTGGCCATGATCCGACTAATTTAAGTCATTTCAGGATGTTCAACCCGAGCCGGACCCTAGATCGCGTGCAATCCTGTTACACGCCCAGTTTGCGTGGTAGCTGTATCTAGATCTTTTAGCACATTTGCACATTTACTTTCTCGTGTATGTTTTACATGCATTTTCAATTGAGTAAATTTCTGGGGTTCCATCTTAGTCATTAAACTTATATATTTCTTTTCCTCCCTGCCATGAAGGCATTTATTGAACATGTGTTTTGAATTGCAAATAATTTCACAATGTTTTCCTACAACTATCGTAGGTACTTTGATCATTGTCAAAATATGTAACTCTGTGGATGCTTTCCATTCTATTGGTCTTTCTTGTGGCTTGTATCTTGTACATTACATCCATTGCACATGTTATCATGGCCAATAATTCCTTACTGCTTGTCCCACTAAACAACATGCAATATGGTTGCTCTGTGATGCTATAGATTTTGAAGGAAAAACTGATAGTAAAATTCGGGTCCTAGAGGTGGTGGAAGAACTCAAAGCCCAAAGAGCTGACAAACAGGTACCATTCTGCAGAGTCACTGAGTAAATTCAAGTCTTATTATTCAAGATCAATGTGTAGCAACTTTGTGCCATGCAAGCATGTAATTTTAGGTTGCTTATGGTGCTTCTGAGTGCTCTTTTGTTTAGTCAGTTGTGTTTTTTTGGCAATTAAGCCAGGATCTTGTTTTTGCTGCAGTCGGTGCTTCTTCTTGATGCTTTCAACAAAGACAGGGCTTCTTTGCCACAGCCAATTCAAAATCCTTCTCCATTAGCAACTCTGCCTGTTCTTAATCCTCCAGACCCTCATACCCAGGAAATGATTAATGAAAAACTAAAGAAAGCGGAAGATCTTGGTAAATTACTCCCTAGTTTCTGTTGATGAGTAGATATTTCTCAATATGTTTTTGAGTTCAGACAACTCATAGTGCATTTCTCAATATGAATAGATATTTAATATCTTTTGGTCAACTTGCCTCCTTATGCTATAAAAAGTGAAAAATAAATTAAATTTGGCTTTGTTGGAAAAATGTGTTGCTCATGTCATGATGACATGGCCCTGACATGGTATATGGGTGGCATTCATGTGGGCCCACTATATAGTATATCCCATTGTGCTGTTTTGGTGGTGATGTGGTGCAGAAATGGCACCATGCCTAGTCCCATGTGGGTTTCAATGGACAGGTTGTACGGATGCTGCGTCAATGTTGACTGTGCTTCTTATTTCAGCCAATCAATTGGCTATGTCAGGACCATGTTATTATCCCATAGATGCCGACAACAATCAATTTAAAGATAGTTTCACATGGCTATTTCTTTTTAACTTATCATTTAATGCTTGATATGGCATCTCTTTATGTGTCAAAATTCAAATGCTAAGGGCATCAAATTTCAAGGTTGGGTTGTTGACAGCAAGGGTCTAGTGTCTGGTGGAGCAAATTATAGATGGATTTTATGATACTTTTTGGGAAAATGGACATCTGGGAGACTAATTGTAAT